AAATCCCACATGAAGCTTTTGAATATCACTTGGGACGTCCGATGCCTGAAGAGTTTGCTTCAGAAGATGCATGCACTCGAGAGGGTGAAGGTGCATCAGAGATGACAAGTTTACGAGAACAAATAGCAGATGATATCCTCCTGTCATGATAATTTTTTTTCCTATTATGGCAAGCAGACTCGTAGGAAAAAAAATATCAATTCTTGTTGAATTAGCTTTTTATAGTACTCTCAATGCTAGCAAATTTTTCATCCAATTCATGTTGAATTAGCTTAATAGACATGTACCAGTTACTGCGTATTACATAACTTATTTCCCTTTCATATCTGCAGTTTTTTTTTTTTTACTCTTATGTTTTTGCTAGAAGCCTGGAATGTGAAATGCTTTCACTTCTTTCATCTTTGCACTTTCCTGCTCCATAATATTTGGATCGTGTTTTGTGGAAAGGCTTACCTATCTTTAAATTCATGATTATAAAGTTGATCACAAGAGATCAGTGTGTAATAGATAAGCTCCGGCAGCATAAGCCTTCATGATATGATTCCTTATATTGCTATTTGACTCTTTAAAGTGTGATGGGTTGGTTTGTTGATCATCCATTTTTTCAGTAAAACTGATAGATTACCATTTACCACTTGAATGCCATTTTTATGAATTTTCATACAGTCAAATGTATCTCTAACCTGCACTGCTGAACTCAAAGGTAATATTACTCAATCAAGTAGATTAATTTTTTGGGGAATTTACATAGCACCCTATTCTGATACAATTACTTATCTCACACCCAAACTTTGATTTTTACATCCAAAACACCCAACCTATGTAAATTGTATAATTCACTTTTTCATGCATCTTTTTATACATAGGTCAAGGTGCTTAGCTTTTAGCAATCAAAGTTTGGGTGCGGGATAAGTAAACGCATACGAATTGGGTGCTATGTATGTAAATTCATTGCTGAAGTAACCACTCAAGATTAATAGAAGTTAGCATGCGTTGTATTTTCTACCACAAAAAAGATATGAATATAAGTATTTAGGTAACAACATTTATACCTCTTGAATTGCTTCATTTATGATAAAGATACACTTTAAGACATTAGAATCAAATTTAAGTAGAATCTTACAAAAGGATACCCCCTTTAAAAAGAGGTCCGTTCAGCCCCTATAAAGGCATGTTTGCAGGTGGCATGTTTGAAGAATTTAAAGGATCCCCTTTAAGGGTGGATGGTTTCTCACGTGTGAACCTGTATAACATGCTCGAAGAATTAAAAGATGTATTGAAGTTGTGTATCCCTTGAGGATATCTGTATTGAAATTGGAATACAGGGAGACGTTCTCTTTCCTTTTTTTTTATTTAGAGCTTTACATGCTTTTTTTTTTATTCCCTCAAATTTTTGACTAATTAACGTTTTTTAACATAATTGCAGGACAATGAACTCGAGATATTCAGGGAAGTCGGGGCAAATGATGTGTCGATGTGGGCTACCGTCATTGCTTCTCACATCACGACAGACACATAGTTACGGACAACAATTCTACAGGTGCCCGCGGTGGGGACAAGGACCAGACGACTGCAAATTCTTCAGGTGGGTCGACAGTGGAACTATTTCTACGTGCTCCCAATTGGACACAACTGCTAGGAGTTTAATAGTGTCACAACAGGAGAACGCCACATGTGGTTCGAGTTCTTCCATTTTTAGAATATCGCAGTCGGACAGATTTGCTCAGGGTTTTGGAGTGTCAGATGCAGGTGGCATGGGTCGTGATATGCTGCTACATTATAAAGTCAACATTATCATATTTCTACTTATCATTTTAACATCTTATTTTTTTCTTCTTTATGGGCTCTTATTATACTTTGTAGTAGTATGTATATATGCGTTTGACTTTTATATGTGTAACATATTCGTTTGATGTGATCAGATATGTTTTAGTTATATGAATATAAATCAACTTTTTGG